AAATACAAAAAAATAGGCTAATGTGTTCTATGTCAACACAAAAACGGTCACTGGACCCAGGATTGCAGGGAGCGACACTGCTTCCTTCTCTTTGCTAAGTTGCATACGTATATTTACTCCTCCCTAAATTCTGTGAAATAGGCTACTGCTATCTCCACTTTACAGATAAGACACCAGAGGTATAAAAAGGTGATGTGGTTCCCCAGGCTCACATCCCCTGAAGTGAAAGAGTTAGGACTTGGGCCAGGTACAGTGGCTCACACCTCTAATCCCAGCACTTTGGGAGGCCAAGGTGGGTAGATCATTTGAGGTCAGGAGTTCGAAACCAGCCTGGCCAGTATGGTGAAACCCCACCTCTACTAAAAGACAAAAATTAGCCAGGTGTGGTGGGGGGTGTCTGTAATCCCAGCTACTTGGGAGGCTGAGGCAGGAGAATCGCTACAACCCGGGAGGAGGTGGAGGTTGCAGTGGGCGGAGATGGCGCCATTGCACTCCAGCCTGGAAGACAGAGGGAGATTCTGTCTCAAAAAACAAGCAGACAAACAGAGTTAGGACTTGAACCCAGGCCACGAGTCCCACATGACTCTTCACCTCCAAACCTCCACACACAAGACAGGCATCTTGCCTTAATTAGCAGGTTGCTTGGTGAGCAAGCTGATTAGAGGAATTGCACATGCAGTTCCACTATTTGCTTCCCTAGATACTTCTCCGTAGGATGTGTTAATCACTGTAAGACCATGTCTTCTATTTTCTGTGTTCCAATGTTTTAACACCTGAGGCATGCTGAGCCTGGAGGGACAGCTCCTCCCACGGTCAGCTGATTCCTTGGCTTAGTAAACAACTTGTCCTTGAACACAGCTCTTCAAAAGCAAAACAACCCCCACAAAAACAACAAAAGGTTCTTGATTCAACCCCCACAAGAACAAAGCCCACACCCCCAACTGCCTCATTGATTGGGCTCTCTTATTCTGGGTCACCACTCACCTGCCCCAATCACCCCAGGGACAGTCCCTAAGCCCAGAACCCACTGAAAGTGCTGGCCCTGCTTACACCTTGCCTCACCCTTCCTTCCTGCAGAAACCAGTTCAGACTCTCATTAGGGGCTGGGCACACCTCTAATCCTAGCACTTTGGGAGGCTGAGGCAGGCAGAACACAGGGTCAGGAGTTCAAGACAATCCTGACCAACACGGTGAAACCCTGTCTCTACTGAAAATACAAAAATTAGCCAGGTATGGTGGTGCATGCCTGTAATCCCAGCTACTCAGAAGGCTGAGGCAGGAGAATCACTTGAACTTGGGAGGTGGAGGTTGCAGTGAGCCGAGATTGTGCCACTGCACTCCAGCCGGGGCGACTGAGTGACGCTCCATCTAAAACAACAAAAACAAACAAACAGAAATTAGCTGGGGGTGGTGGCACATGCCTGTAATTCCAGCTGCTTGAGAGGCTGAAGGCAGGAGAATCACTTGAATGGAGTTTCGCTCTTGTTGCCCAGGCTGGAGTGCAATGGCACGGTCTCAGCTCACTGCAGCCTTCACCTTCCAGGCTCAAGCAATTCTCCTGCTCCAGCCTCCCAGGTAGCCGGGATTACAGGTGCCCACACCACGTTCAGCTAATTAGTAGAGACGGGCTTTCACCATGTTGACCAGGCATGGTCTCCAACTCTTGACTTCAGGTGATCTGCCTGCCTCAGCCTCCCAAAGTACTGGGATTACAGGCATGAGCGACCGCACCCAGACCCAAATTAAATCTTTTTTGAAAATTATTTTTCTATTCTTTGTTCCTCTAGAGACCAAATTAAATCTTACATGGATCCTCCCCTACCCCTTATACCAAGGGACTGACTGTGATTTCATTAGCATACATTTATTTTATGAGTTCATATTTGTACAACAAAGCATCTCAATCACAAAGAACAATGAAGAGTTTTAGCTGAACCCACTTTTGAGGTCAGGGGTTTACAGAGGCCAGATGCAGCCCTCCAACAGCCGGCACATTCAATTTACTTGGGAATTTTTGCTTGGAATTTGCCCTACCAGCGATGTCTTGACTCAGTTAAGTAGCTTCAAATGGTGACAGTTTTACATGACAACTTGCATTGCAGTCCCAGAATACACTTTGACTTGTCCAGAAAATCTTGAAAGCAAAGTGGTAGGATTTTGATTTCATGGGTGACATTGAACAACCACACACCTGTGTATCACAAATATAAATGTTACACCCCTGAAATCCACAAAAAGCACAAAATACAGTCTTCATGCTGCAGTATGAGGAGAAATGTCACACTGTCTCTTATTATACAATAAGCATGCCTTGATGGGAGGCCAGCACGCAACAAACGTGCTGGGGGCTTTTGTAGCATTTATTCAAGCTCAGACTCTGCGTTGCAACAACCAACACAGTAGTACAATATTCTGAGAATAGGTATGCCCAGGCCAGGGATTTACAAGGCATTAAAAGATCATCAGAGAAGCTGGGCGTGGTGGCTCACAACTGTCATCCCAGCACTTTGGGAGGCTGAGGTGGGTGGATCACTTGAGGTCAGGACTTCAAGACCAGCCTAGCCGACATAGTGAAACTCCATCTCTACAAAAAATATGAAAATTGGCTGAGTGTGGTGATGCATGCCTGTAATCCCAACTACTCAGGAGGCTGAGGCAGGAGAATCGTTTGAACCTGGGAGGTGGAGGTTGCAGAGAGCCAAAATTGCACACTGCACTCCAGCCTGGACAACAGAGTGAGACTCAGTTTCAAAAATAAAAAAGATCAACAGAGAGCTACAAACTTCTTGACCATGGATTTGCAAGAAGTTCACATAGGTGTATGAAGACAGCAGGAGGTTTATCCCAACCACTGCACAAGAGAAAAAGGTGTTGAACTGAGGCTAGACGGCCAGCTTGGGAAAGGGACAAAAATCAGTCTTCGAGGTTTTAGGTTATGTCCATCAAGTGAATTCTAAAAATTTCTTCTGTTTCTTGGCACTTGCTGGGAATGCAAGAATCTAGTAGGAGTTTCTGCCTGCTTGAGAGTGTGTCTCTTACCTGCACCCTGGCCACCAGGGTAGGGGTATAGAGACAGAACCACTATTTTTTGTTTTTGATAAGGGGATGACATAGGGGTGACTTCCCAGAAATAAGAAAGGGGGTTGAGGCCAGGTGCAGGGGCTCATGCCTGTAATTCCAGCACTTTTGGAGGCTGAGGCAGGCAAATCACTTGAGGTCAGGAGTTTGAGACCAGCCTGGCCAGCATGGTGAAATGCCATCTCTAATAAAAAATACAAAAATTAGCCGGGTGTGGTGGCAGGTGCCTATAATCCCAGCTACTAGGGAGGCTGAGGCAGGAGGATTACTTGAGGCCAGAAAGTAAAGGTTGCAGCAAGCCGAGATTGCACCAGTGCACTCCAGCCTCGGTGATGGAGTGAGACCCTATCTCAAAGAAAAAGAAAAGAAAGGAGGGAGGGGGAGGGGAAGGGGGGAGGGGGAGGGGGGAGGGAGGGAGGGAGGGAGAGTTGAATGCTGGAAGTCACAGACATGGCTGACATCCACCACATTGTGACATTAGTGGTCTCTGGCATTACAATTTGGTAGGCTGAGTGTGTGTGTGTAAGTTACATTTTTGAAAAGAGATTCAGTTCAAACCTTTGCAGATCCCTGAACTAGCAAAAGTTTGCAAATTGACAGGTCAAGTGTCTCTAAGTAAAGATCTGTCTACTCACATGTATTTGGATTTTACCTAATTTTTAAAGTTCTTCATCTCGGTGTTAACATCGTTCATTACTCTTGAAAATGGCCTCTTAATTATTTACCTCCTTTTGGACCACTGCCTGGAAGCCTCACCTCTTTTTTTTTTTTTTGAGACGGTTTTGCTCTTGTTGCCCAGGCTGGAGTGCAATGGCACCATCTCGGCTCACTGCAACCTCCACCTCCGGGGTTCAAGAAATTCTCCTGCCTCAGCCTCCCTAGGAGCCGGGATTACAGGCATGTGCTACCAACTCCGGGCTAATTTTGTATTTTTAGTAGAGATGGGGTTTTCTCCATGTTGGTAAGGCTGGCCTCAAGCTCCTGACCTCAGGTAATCCTCCCTGCCCGCCCCTCCACGCCCCCACCTCAGCCTCCCAAAGTGCTGGGATTACAGGCGTGAGCCACTGCGCCCAGCCACCTCTTCTTTAGAGAGTGGAGTTCACACCTCCCCACCAAGCCAGAGCTTCCAGGATTTAACTTGGCAAGACCCTTATACCCTCACCCACAGGCGCCAAACTGGGCAGAAGGGTCCCACCTCTGACCGCTTCTGTAAGTGACTCAGCGTGTAGAGAATGGCGACAGCTTTTCAAGAGCCATTTACAGATCAGCAAGTTCCTCAGAGGTGGAGAGCAGGCAACTCACTCTCACCCGTGGTTTCTGCTTGATATGCGCAAAACAGGGTATCCCACTCCGGACACGTTTGTGCCCCAGTTACATTCAAGGTACATGCTTTTGAAACACAGAAAACGGCTCTAGACTTTACAATAACAGGATTTCCAGGAGGGCGCACTGCTAGAGGGGTCTGTGCCGCCAGCCTCCCCCCAGCAGGAGAGGCAGTCCCAGCATCAGGCCGCAGGTGACAGCCGAAGGGGGATGGCGGCCCTTCACCCGAGTAGAGATCTCCCTGACATGTTCCTCCTGGATCTGCCCGGGTTTTCTTCAACTCCAGTAAGAGATCTCCAAAACCTTGGAATCCGGGACCCTGTTGTCCCCTGCTCCATTTTCTGCAAAGGGCGCAGGCGCCTGGGGGAAAGCCTTGGTCTCCATAGCAACGGTCAGACGCGCTGCTAGCCTCTGGCGCCGACTGCGCCTGCGCGGCTGGTCCCGCCGGGTCTCCCGGGTGGCGGAAGATGTTTGTAGGTAGGTCTTTGAGACCCTTCTTCACTTACAAATTACTCTCATCCACTCAAATGATACCGATACGCATATTAGGTGTTACTCGCACACTCTCAAATATTACCCACAACTGCTCTCAATTATACACGGATGCTACCCACACTCACTAATGTGTATTCAAGTAACACAAATGCTACCTGCGCCTACTCAAATATGTAGTATGACAGTCATGGGCAAGGTTTTGGTCTGTTTTATTCCCCTTCTGTATCCCCAGTGCCTGGCACACAGTAGGGCCTCAGGAAATTTTGTTGGTTGAAGGAGTAATCCACACTCAACCAGATTTTGTGAACATTCAACTGTTACCCACATCTACTCAAATGCTACCTACGCTCACTCCGATGTCTCCAAGTAATTTAAATATTACCCACTTACTCTGAGTGCCATGAAGGCAGGGATTTTTGTTGAGTTTACTCCCTTCCGTATCCCCAGCTCCTAGAACAGTACCTGGGACATAATAGGTGCACAGTAAATATCTGTAGGATGAATGAATGAGCCAAGGGTAGCCAGAAGTTAACCACACACACTCAGATGTAACTCACAAGTTAGTTAACTCAGATAAAGATAGTTCACACTAGTCAGATGTTACCTGTGCTATCCAAAGGATACCCATTCTCGCTCAAAAGTTACTCATTCACTAGAGTCATTCCTATCCTCACTTGTATTACCCACACTCACTCATACTCCTTAAATGTACTCACGTGGTACCTACCCTCCCACGGTCACCCCCCACGCCCACCCAATGCCACCACCACCTCACAGCTTCTTGTCCGAGGCGTGACGCCGCCGGCGGTTTTTCTTGTTCTTCCTTTTGCCCCTCTTGCCATCTCCAGCCTTGCTCTCCTTCTCCAAGGAGTCTGGAGGTGGCACCACGTCCATCCGGACAGTGGCCGCAGCCTCCGGCTTCTCCCCCAGCCCAGGCACACAGCACTTCCTTGCAGGCAGCTCTCCGGGGCCCGTCTCTGGGAGACACAGTTCCTGCCTCAGGACCCGCGCCACATCCTCGACCGTCCTCCCTTCGCTCTGCAGAAAGAGGTTCAGCTTGGTCAGGAATTCGATGTCCTGCTTCCGGGGCATGTAGACCACTCTCCACACCCCGCCCTTGCCCTTGATCTCCCTGGGGACCACGGCGTAATTGATGTCCTCCGTCAGCTCAATGATGGCCGCCTTGGATTTATCTTCTTCCAGATAGGCCTTCCCAGCCACTTCGAACTTGCCTAGAGGTTTGAGGGGCAGCCGAATAATCTCTTCGAATTCCTCATGGTTGCAGTCCTCGGGAATCCCCAGGATCATCAGGGACTTGTGACTGTCCACCTCCAGGGCCTTGCACCCATGCTCCAACAGGGCAATGTCTTTCACGCCAAACAGCATCTTCCCCAACTCTTTGAGGCAGCAGTATGCCCGCTGACGCACACCTGAGCTGCCTCGGGAATCCACGGAGGTATCCAGGTTGCCGGGATTCCTTCCCAAAGGCTAGGAGAGAGAGTGAGGCCTCGGGGCCAGAGGCCGCTCCCAGGCCCCCTTCGTCCAGCTCAGTGAAGGATGCCCCCAGCCCCTGCCTACAGGGCTGTGCAGTGTCAGTCAGGGCTTCCGTGGCTCCCTCTGAGTGGGCTCCAAGATTCCCAGGGACTTACGCGTGCTGGAGAAGCAGAAGGCGGCGTTTGCCACCTGACTCGTGGCTCCCGGGTCCTGGGCGAGGCTGCACCGAGGAGGGTCTTAAGACGATGCTTCCCTTTTCTTGGCGTGGCCTCCAAAGGTCTCGCAGGCCCCAACAGTCTCCGCGGATCTGGGACTGCTGATCTCCACCAATGGAGTGTCGTGGGTGGGGCCCTGACCGGCCGGGAGGCGCGTCCCTCACCGCCAGCCCAGAGATTGCCCTAAGTGCCCTGTGGCCAGACTAGGACGAGATGTGGCCGCTGCACTTGCTCCCGCTGTGACGTCACCGTCTCCTTCCGCTCTGAGGCCTGGAGGTCTCCATGGCAACCGCTGGAGCATCGCCTCTGCCATTGGCCGCCTGGTCGCATTGAAATCAAGAGTCTGAGGGGGTCATTCGGAGGTGAGGGGTTGGCCATCAGCCATCAGAAGTGCCCATGATTCTCCTTTGAATAATAGCTGATTCCAGGGGCGAGGGGACAGGGAATATACAAGAGGCACCCCGGGAATATTTTGGGGTCAGAAACTAAGGAAGTACTTTTAAGAAAATGAGGAGAACACCTGGAAAGGCCCAGGAACCGGCGTGAAAGGCTCCCACTGGCCAACCCTGGGACAATTTGAGCATCAACGTTAAAAATGAAAGTAACCGATTATAACCCCTTGAATAAAATTAGAATCTATGAGTTTATGTAGATTTAAGTATATTAATGGAAAGTTTGGTGAGGAATGTGAACTAGCACATTGTCTCAAAGTACCTGCCCATATAATACTCATCAAAAGGAACAAACGTCTGTTTACAGTGGAATATTCTTGCTTGTAGGACGGACACACACACACACACACACACACACACTATGATATTCAGAACAATATGACAATTTACACAACACTCAAAATGCTTCAGGGGAGAAAACTTTTTTTCTTTTTTTTTGAGACAGTCTCCCTCTGTTGCCAGGCTGGAGTGCAATGGCACAATCTCAGCCCACTGCAACCTCCACCTCCTGGGCTCAAGCGATTCTCCTGCCTCTGCCTCCCAAGTAGCTGGGACAACAGGTACCCGCCACCACCCCTGGCTAATTTTTGTGTTTTTAGTAGAGATGGGGTTTTACCATGTTGGTCAGGCTGGTCTCGAACTCTGGCCTCAAGTGAACTGCCTGCCTTGGCCTCCCAACATGCTGGGATTACAGGCATGAGCCACCAGGCCCGGCCCAGTACTGCCTTGGGACCCAAGAGTCCAACCCCTTGTCAGGAGCCACATATTCTGATCCCCCGTGTGGGTGAAGAGCCCATGGGGTTGGGGACATGGGCTTCCTTGGAACCCCCACCTCCCCTTCTGGATCATGCTCTGGTACCAGGGCCCAGAATTCCTTGCTGTAGTGACCTGAGCCACTTCCAGGACACGTGCGGGCATCTTCCGCAGCTGGACAGCAGCATTGTGGTACATATATCCAGCCTCAGTGGATGGCCCTAGGCCCGGAATTGGAGTTGAGAGGGAATGAAGCATGGAGGTGCCTGCCGGGGCATCTACCGCATGCACACAGGACCCTTACTGGTGCGACAGGACTGGGTGGTGTATGCATTTCCTGTGGCTACTATAACAAATTACTGCAATCTTAGTGGCTTCAACGAAAGTATATTTTTAAATTTGGATAGTTATGGAGATCAGAAGTCCAAAAATAAGTTTTATGGAACTGTATTAGGGTTCTCCAGAGGGAGAGAACTAATAGGATCTATATTGATATAAAAGGAGTTTATTTTTTATTTTCATTTTTATTATTTTTGAGACGGAATCTCACTCTGTCGCCAGGCTGGAGTGCAGAGGTGCGATGTTGGCTCACTGCAACCTCTGCCTCCCGGGTTCAAGCAATTCTCCTCTGGAGTAGCTGGGACTACAGGCATGCGCCACCCTGCTCAGCTAATTTCTTTATTTTTAGCAGAGACAGGGTTTCACCATGTTCGCCAGGATGATCTCAATCTTTTGACTTCATGATCCACCTGCCTCAGCCTCCCAAAATGCTGGGATTTCAGGCGTAAGCCATTGCACCTGGCCGAGATCTTTTTTTTAAGTCTAATTTTGTCATAAAAAATTTCCCATTCAAGCCAGATGCAGTGGCTTATGTCTGTAATATCAGCACTTTGAGGGGGCTGAGGTGGGCAGATTACCTGAGGTCAGGAGTTCAAGACCAGCCTGGCCAACGTGACAAAACCCCATCTCTGGTAAAAATACAAAAATTAGCCTGGTTTGGTGGCACATGCCAGTAATACCAGCTACTTGGGAGGCTGAGGCAGGAGGATCACTTGAACCTGGCAGGTGGAGGTTGCAGTGAGCCAAGATTGCGCCACTGCACTCCAACCTGGACAACAGAGTGAGACTCTGTCTCAAAAAAAAAAAAAAAATCACATTCAACTCCATGCCATGACCCCTTTAATACAAAGATGAAGTAAAATACGCTATCCAAAATTTTTGCCCTGAGTTTATGAATACCTCTATTGCATACTCCTGGGTTTATGCATGTCCCAGATTGAGAAGCAAGGGAAAGAATGGTCCATTTATTTGATCCACCAGGATTTACTGAGAAGTGCCCTTGTTGCAGGCTTGGGGTAACGTGCTGGGCATACTTGAGCGAGACAGGCTCTGCTGTGAGGAGCTCAGTCCAGCAGTTATGACAGGCTACCTCCGTCTGTTTACTGTCAGGAAGAGAAGCCCTATAATTACCATGAACATGTGTTCTGATCCCTGGTGTGGGGTATAGAACACAGAGTATATCAAGTGGGCTTAGTTTTCCTGGAACAGGTTTTGCTAGAGCTTAAAGAGAGAACTGCATCAAGTCCTTTGGGGGCCCTGAGATGCCTGACTGCATCCATCACTGTATCAATAAACCTTTTATTCATTCACCCTTCAACAGCTCTGATTAATTCTCCATAAAGGAAGTCATCTGTCTGGTCTCATCTGGGAAGGCTTCCCAGAGGAGGTGACATTTGAGAGAAATCCTGATGGATGAATGTAATAACCACAGAATAATACTATTTTAAAAAGTAGTAACTGTTAACTTTTGCATAAGGCATACTAAAATATTCTGAGCCTTTTATGTGTACTAAGTCATCTAATTTTTACAACAGTCCATGTGTTATTGATTCAATCATTCATTCATTCATTGAGTAGTTCCTGTTTTGTTTTCTTTTTTTTTTTTTTTTTTTTTTTTTGTGTGTGTGTGTGTGTGTGTGTGTGTGTGTGTGTGTGTTTTGAGACAGAGTCTCGCTCTGTCTCCAGGCTGGAGTGCAGTGGCTTGATCTTGGCTCACTGCAACCTCTGCCTCCTGGGTTTAAGTGATTCTCCTGCCTCAGCCTCCCGAGTAGCTGGGACTACAGGTGTGTGCCACCATGCCCATGCTCAGTTAATTTTTGTATTTTTAGTAGAGACGGGGTTTCACCATGTTGGCCAGTATGGTCTCGATCTCCTGACCTTGTGATCTGCCCACCTTGGCCTCCCAAAGTGCTGGGATTACAGGTGTGAGCCACCGAGTCCAGCCTTCTAGATCTTATAGTCAAGAAAACTGAGAACCAGAGAGGTTAAATCACTTACCTGGGACCACACAGTTAGTGAGACTTTTTTTTTATTTTTTGAGATAGGGTCTTGCTCTGTTGCCCAGGCTGGAATGCAGTGGCACAGTCATGGCTCACTGCAGCCTCAAACTCCCACCTCAGCCTCCTGAATAACTGGGACTTCAGGTGCATGCCACCACACCTGGCTAACTTAAAATAATCGTTTTTGTAGAGACAGGATCTCACTATGTTGCCCAGGTGGGTCTCAAACTCCTGAGCTCAAGCAATCCTCCTGGCTCAGTCTCCCAAAGTGCTGGGATTACAGGCATGAGCCACCATGCCTGGCCAAGATTTTTAATATTTGGGTTAGCTTAATTTTTTTCCATGAATTTTCTGTTTGGATCTTTTACCCATTTTTATTTTAAAAATGGGGTATCCTTTTTTGCTGAGGAGTAAAAAATCTTTACAAATAAAGGAAATTAGTGTATTATCACACCATGTGTAATGGCTTAGTTACTTATTTTTTGTTGGTGATGGTTGTTTAAAATAATTTATTTATATATATGTGTGTGTGTGTGTGTGTGTGTGTATATATATATATATATATTATTTTAATTTTTTTTTTTTTAGATGGAGTCTCGCTCTGTTGCCCAGGCTGGAGTACAGTGGTGTGATCTCAGCTCACTGCAACCTCCGATTCCCAGGTTCAAGCAGTTCTCCTGCCTCAGCCTCCCGAATGCATGGGATTACAGGCGTGAGCCACCATGCCCGCTAAATTTTTTGTATGTTTAGTAGAGTCGAGGTTTCACCATGTTGGCCAGGCTGGTCTCAAACTCCTGACCTCAAGTGATCTACCTGCCTCAGCCTCCCAAAGTGCTGGGATTACAGGCATGAGCCACTGTTCCTGGCCTTGGCTAAGTTACTTGTTAGTTTTAGTCTAGGCTCTAGGGATAGAGCAATGAATGAGAGATACAAAATCCCCTGATTTCCAAAAGCTGACACTCTATTGGGGAGAGAGACCAGGGACAAAGGAAGATAAATAATATGTCATGTGGTGATCTGCAGTGGGGAAAAATAAAGCAGGAAAGACAGAGAAGGGCCAGACACCAGGTCACACCTGTAATCCCGGCACTGTAGGAGGCCAAGGGAGGAGGATTGCTTGAGCCCAGGAGTTTGAGACTCGCCTGGGCAACAAAGTGAGACCCCATCTCTACACAGCAACAAGAACAAGAAAAGAAAATTAATCAGGTGTGGTGGTACACACCTGTGGTCTCGGCTACTTGGGAAACTGAGGTGGGAGGATTTCTGGAGGCTGGGAGTTCGAGGCTGCAGTGAGCTATGATTGTACCACTGTGCTCCAGCCTGGCAGACAGTGAGATCGCATTTCAAAAGAAAAAATTAAATTAAAAAGAGAGGCCGGGTGCGGTGGCTCACGCCTATAATCCTGGAACTTTGGGAGGCCAAGGCGGGCAGATCACCTGAGGTCGGGAGTTCAAGACTAAGTTAGCCTGACTAACATGGAGAAACCCTGTCTCTACTAAAAATACAAAATTAGCCAAGTGTAGTGGCTCATGCCTGCAATCCCAGCTACTCAGGAGGCTGACACAGGAGAATTGCTTGAACTCAGGAGGCGGAGGTTGTGGTGAGCCCAGCTCGTGCCATGGCACTCCAGTCTGGGCAACAAGAGCAAAACTCCATCTCGAAAATAAAAAAGAGAGAGAGAGAGAGAGAGAGAGAGAGAGAGAGAGACACTGAGTGTGTATTGGGAAAGGG